TGTCTATAACCACTTTATTGAGAGTTTTTTAAAATCATGAACAGGTGCTGAATTTTCTCAAATGCTTTTTCTGCACCTATTCATTACCTGAATAGGTGCAGAAAATAGTATGACTTAATCTTCATTTGTTATTTTGTTTTATTTTTAACATTTTTTATTGATTTATAATCATTTTACAATGTTGTGTCAAATTCCAGTGTAGGGCACAATTTTTCAGTTATACATGGACATATATATATATATATACATATATTCCTTGTCACATTTTTTCCTTGTGAGCCACCATAAGATCTCGTATATATTTCCCTGTGCTATACAGTGTAATGTTGTTTATCTATTCTACATTTTGAAATCCCAGTCTATCCCTTCCCACCCCATTAACCTTCACTTGTTAATGTGGTATATCACACTGAATTACTTGCAAATGCTGAACCATCCTTGTGTTCCTGAGTACATCCCACTTGATCATGGTGTATGATCCATTTAATGTACTGTTGAATTTGGTTTGTTAATATTCTGTTGAGGATTTCTGCACTTATGTTTATTGGAGATATGGGCCTATAATTGTTTTGTGTGAGGTGTAATTGTCTCATTTTGGTATCAGGGAAATGCTAGTCTTTTAAAATTAATTTGGAAATATTCTTTTCTCTTCAGTTTTCTGGAAGATTTTGAGAAGGATAACACTAAATCATCCTTGAATCTTTTGCAGGATTTACCAGTAAAGCTGTCTGGTTCCAGATTTTTTTATTGTTAGGAGATTTCTGACTAATTTAATCTACTTACTAGTAAATTGGTCTACTCAAAGTTCCTATATCTTCATGGTTCAGTTTTGAAAGATTGTGTTTCCTAGAAATTTGTCTATTTCTCAAAGATTGTCCAATCTATTGGTGTATAATTGTTCACAGTAGTAACTTATAATCTTTTGTATTTCTTTGATACCAGTTGTAAATTCTCCTCTTTCAATTCTGATATTTACTAATTTGAAGTAAGTCTAGCTAAAGGTTTGCCAATCTTGTTTATCTTTTCAAAGACCAGTTCTTAGTTTCATTGGTCTTTTCTATTGTCTTATTGGTCTCTGTTTTATTTATTTCCACTCTGATCTTTTTAATTTCCTCTTTCTACTAACTTTGGACTTTGTTCTCCCCCCCCCCCACTTTAGGGGTGAAGTTAGATTCTTTCTTTGAGATTTTCCTTGTTTTTTGATGTATGCATCCATCACTGCGAACTTTCCCCTTAGAACTGCTTTTGCTGCATCTCATATATTTTGTTATGTTGTATGTCCATTTTCACTTTTCTGAAGGTTTTTTTTATTTCCCTATTGATTTCTTTGTTCATCCATTGGCTGTGTAGTAGCTTGTTGCTTAATATCCACATATATGTGAGTTTTTCTGTTTTTTTCTTGTAGTTGATTTCTAGTTTCATACTACTGTAGTCAGTAAAGATGCTTGATATAATTTGAATATTCTTAAAATTACTGAGACTTGTTTTGTGACCTAACATTTGATCTGTCTTAAGAGTTCCATGTCCTCTTATCTTTAAGGTTCAGGTTTTCTTATATTTCCATGTCTTGTTCATCTTACATCCCCACACTCCAACAAAGCCTTCCACTCATTTACTCTTCAGAATGCAACTCCACATCACCAAGTTCAAAACCTTCCTTATATTTCTTAGACTAAAGCACACTTACATAACAACTTGTACTTAATTTATACTTATCATTTTAAGCTATGAGAATCTGACTGACTTCTCTGTCTACCTCAGCTACCTGTGTGCTTTTTCAGGCTGTAAATGGGTAACAGTTGTCTCTGAACCTCCAAGGACTAACAATCAATAAATATTTGTCAAATATACATCAGTTTGGCAAAACCACTGTCTCATATTTAAATGTAGAGACATTCTAAAATCTTTGATTTCTTAAGAATTATTCTGATAATTGAATCTATATGAGAGTTAAAAAATGTGTGTATTTGTATATATACATATAAACAATTGCAAGTGTGTGTTGTTATTTATTGTTTAGTATTTCTTAATGTCCAAAAACATGTTTGAATCACTAGATTTTGTTAGATTTTTAAGTGCAAAAACATAGTCTTGACTCTATGAGTTAGATTCCTGCTATCAAGGACTGCAGAACTGGGCCACTGAGAGAGATTTGCAAACTATTTTGAAGTAGGCAGCAAATTCAGGGTCCCTCCAATCTAATAACAGTCATTCTACCAGTGTAGATATCTACTCACCACACTTGGTAATTCTATAGAGCTTTATGATTATGTCACTAAGTACATTTCCCTAAAGATTTGCTCCTAATGCATCAGGCAATTGCATGCAAGCAGGCTCCATGAATGTTTAGCTAATTTACATCAACTTATAAACATTCCTTCTTCTGCCCACTTTTGTCTCAGCCTTTTGTGAGGCTGATACTAGCAACCTCCTTCAAATAGTGTCAGACTGCATGGTGACTCTGTGATGGACAAATAAGTTTGCATACTGAGACCCACACATCTATTTTCCCCTCTAGTTTCATATTCTACTATTGGAACCCAAGTCTCTAGATATGAGGCATATTCTATTTTCCCTTCTCTTTTGATTAGGGTGATAGGCAATATGTAAGATTCAGATCCTCACTTGCCATTGCAGCTTCTAAAGTGCTTCCCACATTAAATTACAAACTAGAACAAATAACTTTCTATCCTCAAGAAGTAAATATGTGAGCCTTAACATGCAGCTTGTAGGCCAAAGTCATTACATAGTGGATTTTACTCAAACAAAATTGCTTCCAAACTCAAGCTGCTAGTTAGAAGATACAATACTTAGCATCCCTCAAGAATATGCTTTAAACAAACAATCTTTAAAATAAGCAAAGCAAATAACAATGTATTTTATCATAGGGTGGCTTCAAAATGAATGGAGCCATTGTTCACCATGCAATTCATGAAACTGATGCCTTAAATACTGATTTCCAAATCACTGTCATTGGAAGGCATTCTGTTTTCTTTTTCCTGTTATAAATTCAACTTAAAGCAGAGTAAGAAGGTTTTAGCAAGAAAATTTTACATGTGTTTATGTCTGAAATTAAAACCACAAGAATTTAAAGGAAGAAAAAATAACCAAGGGGGTTTTCAAAAAATTTAAAACTCCATCATGCATAAATGGAGCTCATCAAAGAAAGTAATTTCCCTGCAGAAAACACTCCATCTTTTATCTTATGTAAGTTATCAACATGAATATTTTATTCTCAATGAAACTGCCTTTCCCCCTTTGTGTTTCATAGTTTTCATTTGGTGTCTCAAGTAAATAAACTTCCTTCCTTCCATCCCACTCCATTATTCAGGTCAGTTGCAATTAAATTTATCTCTAGCCTGGTGTAAAAGGTAATTATAGATCAAGCTTTACTAATTCTATGTTATTCATTCTTAGCTCTATTGTATTTTGAAATCTAGAAACACTAACCTCTGGAATCAATCCACAATAAACACAAAATCATTTTTTTAAGGTGGAGTATAATATCTTAATTATCTATGACATTAGAACATTTATCTCAGCTTAGATTCAGTCTTGATCCAAATGATGGAATAAAATTTCCATGAAATGACAACTCTAGTAAGTGCAATTTACTATACCCAGTCCACACAGAATAACTGGTTGTAGTATATCAGATATCTTTCATCCACATTAACCCCAAAGGTTATAATCATTGGATCTGTTTATACTAATTTTTCACCTGTTTGCACAGCCTCCATACCTAATAGTTTAAATAATTGAGTCACTTACTAAATCTTTTTGCTCTTCCTATACCTTGAATAATTACTGTGTGATGTATGGAATATCAAAGAAGTATAATTTGTAGATATATAAAAATAATGTATTCTTGTTTACAAATTACTGATGAACACTTGTTTGAAAACTAAAAGATATACAGTTATTACTCTTATTTTTCATGATTCTAAGAAACTGAACTCAGAATTTTAATGTAGGCTATAAATATATTCATACTCTTAAGCTTTTGAATAATAACATTTAAGTTCACTCACTATGTTTCCAAATGTTTGGCAAAATAAGAAGTTGTCAATTAGACTTTGCTTCCTTTGGTTCAACTGAGAAATAATTTAGTAAAAGTTTCCATCTCTCAAGTCTTTATAATTTAAAAGCAGGAATGTTTTTCACATTGGTGATAATTACCTTATATACTAGACCAGAACATTCAGATCCTCACACAACCATTTAATGTCTCACTTGCATAGCTGAAGAGAGTGTTCATAATTCATTTGACATTTAAAAAATTACTCTGTTTATAGTGGGTGCTGATAGGACCCAAGCTGAATATTTAGAAAATAATTCTCTTCAAATCAGCATAATGAAAATGGAAAGTACTACGCATTCTTTAACTTCATATTTCTTGATTCTTATAACCATCTTAAAACCAAAAGATGAAACATTAGAAAACAATAAATGGGAAAACATCAATCATAATTGATCTTGCTATATTAGCTTACTTTTAAATACAGCCCTACAAATAGGACAAGTAGTCAGTGATCATAAACCATGTCAAGTCTCAGTTTTTGACAACTATGATTTTTACCTTCTTTCAGTCTCTAGTTTCAGCACAGCATTGCCCTTTAAAAATGCAAAAATAAATCAGCAACATTTCCTGCACTGTAATGCAAAAAATGACAAAAAAACTACAGCATAACTCACATAAAAAAATGTTATGCTAACACACAAATCTTTCACTGAAGGCAATAGAATTTAATTTTGAAGCAAGGCAGTTATTCATCCTTTCCATTAAGCACATTTCAAAAAAATAAATAAAGTGATTAAACTGCATTGTCCCTATTTTATCCTGATGACCTGCTATTATAAGTATTTCTCACCACCTCTTAGCTGAATCATTCAAAATATAAACATAGGAGCAGCCAATGTGAAGAAGTAGTTTTTATATGTAACTGAATTTTTCCTGTTATTTATATGCCTATTCAGTAAATTGTGACTATGAAACCCACCTTTATTCAATCTTCAAATGAAAGTTGTACACTGGAGATACATCAATTTAATTTTTCTCAGCATCTCATATCATGTGGTTTCCTTTAAGGATAAGAAGAGTGATTCATTAAAATGTTTAAAGTAGAATAATAATTGTCATTTAAAAACTTTATAAAAATTTTTGAATCACCAAAGTCACTTCAAATTAAGTATAAAATTTGTCATGTATAACAAGTTTTACTAAAACAAAATGATTTTGAATACTAAGGTGTAATCACCAAAAAATTAAAACATCTTAAACCTATGAGATTAATGGTATCTCTTATGACCCATATTTCATTAGGATAATTTAAATTTCATTTTCAAATTTCAAGTACATTTTCAGTGATACCATTTCATCAGTCATAAAGGATTATAAAATCATCTAATACAATTAACCTGATCCTTAGCTGGCCTACTAATAAGATATTTATGCAAATCTGTCTACTAATAAGGTACTCAAACATAATTTGTCAATCTAACTACATGTAGGTAAACTACTTTTATTTGAAATGTTTCATAGCTGTCTTTAGACATATATGTTCACTGGGTTCCAAACCTACTCTACACATTCCCCATAAAAGAAAACAAACAAAAAACTTATATAAATATTTGTTTTATCCCATTACCAAGTGTTTCTCAATAGATTTTAGTTTGGGGAATTTAAAATTATATTCAGATGCAGAACTTACTCTCATTATTTGCTATATAGCTACAGCTGTTCACTCTGATATGTATAAAATTTTAAATTTATCATCCTTCATACATGAATATTATTATATTAATGTAGTCACACATATTTAATGGCTTTTTTCAGATGCATTCTATTTCACAAAATATACATACTTATCTTAGGGAAGTTCAAGTGCACCCTCAAAATCTGAACTATACTTGTTCACACACAACAGTATAACAAATGAAGATTTATGGCAACTGCTAAAATAATTAAGCCCAAAACACACACTCACATACACAATTTCATCTAAATTATTTAGATAAAAGCAGCATAAGATTTTAAATTTTTGAAAACCTGGTTATATATTTATAAATATACATATTTAGTTGTATATTTTGTAAAGTTCTATGTGGAAAGCACACGTTACTCTGAAATAACTAAAATAATGTCACAAGCACTCATGAAAATATAACAAATAAAATTCTTAACTGCAATATGCAATGGATAGTTATAATTGATAATATACAATAGGGTTTACTTACTATATTATTTATTACAAATAAAAGGTTTTTGTCCTCCCATTAAAAATTTACATTATATCAGAAAGTAGTATCACAAAAATTAAGCCCAAGAGTAAATTATGAGCCAAATAAGTGATGACCCAACTAAGTATATATACAACTTTACTTTGAGGAAACTATTCAGAAATATTCCTCATATCCCCCAATACTAGTCACCAAATCTTCCTTTTCATAGGAACAAAATTCATAATTGTCACAATTGCAAGTATCCCTTTGACAGAACCAAGAAACTAGATGTCATTTGATCATCTGCACAATCAGCATAAAATAAAAAGGCCATTTATCTCATGGGAGAAACAAAGTAGATGATCTGGTACCTTCTGACCATCAAATGGGTCGTCAGATTAATGTTACTTCTGAAACACATAAAGCAAACCAGGATAGAAAGTAGATAAGGAAAAAGATGGTTCCCAGAGGATATGAGGGCACAGATCAGAAAGAGGAGGGTCAGCTAAGAACTCTTTAATCCTTAAAATGGTGCCAAGTCTAAGGGAGGGTATTGTCCTTTTAATGATGATAACAAGGGCTAATATTTTAACACTCTGTTTTTTAAACAGTTGTCTCGGGGACTGCTGCCATCACATGCATAGACAGTGTTGTCAAATGAATTAATTTTTACATGTATGTAACCAAGCTTTGAACAGATATATACTTTAGTAATTAATCATGTATTGAGCCAAGGAAAATAAATCAAAATACAATATTTCATAGTAGAATTCTTAGACAACTTCAATTCTCAAATATGTGTTATTACCAAGAATATCTGGAGCAATACTTGATGATAAAATTATTTCAAGAAAAATTATCCCAAATATTTGCTCTTTTTTGCATTCTTTCTATGGAAACAGGAAGAGGGCATATAAGATTCTCTGCAGCTCAAGACTCTGGGGCTACACAACTTCAGGGAGGAAAAAAAGGGAATCAGAGTGCAGGAAAGAAAGATACAGTCAGGGTAAGGATGCATCAAAAAAGAAGCAAAGTTCTGGGGCATAACCAACAAGGGAAAAGTTTAAGGCCAGTTTCATGAGTCCATAACATGTGTGGTGCACAGGTTCCCATGCTTAGAAGGGCTCTACACTTGGCTTAATTTTCTACTGCCACCTTTGTGAAATTATTAATAATTTCTAATAAGGAGTCTATATTAGATTTTGCACTGGGTCCCATTCCCAGAATAGGCTGACAAAAAAAAGCATTTCCTTTGGAAAAGGAACAGACAAGTTGGAGCAGGGGTGTCTGAAGACCACCCTAGTAAGAGGTCTGGAAGCAACAGCAGGAAGCTTTCAGGAAAATGGAGGAGGCTGTTTAGACACTAGGAAACAAAATCAATGAGGGAGGATTGACTTGTAGGATTTCCTAAAAACAACTATTATAAAAATTATAATTAGATAAGTACTAGGGTTATGAATGGGTGATCAGACAGTTACTGATTTTCCTCAAAAAAAAAGTAAAAGAGTCATATAAAATACATCATTTCAAAAATATGACAGATCTAATACTTTGCAGAAGCTACAAAGTAATATTAATTATTAGAAGCACCATTAATATCAGCAAGTAATGTTTTGTCAAATATAAAATGTATATATAATTACTTGATCAGTTTTTGACATTTAAAATCCTGAGTAAAGCTCCAAAAAGGTAACATCTAATTCAAAATTTTAATGGAGTCATGAGGCAGAGCCTTTAGTTTTGTTTTGACTTTACATAAACAAAACATAACTGTAAAATTTCACTCAATTCTTTGCACACAGAATTCCTATATACACTCTACATTTATATTTGCTTTTTGTTCCTACTAAGCTCTCATGAAATACTATAAAGCATCATCTCATAAAACAACAGCAGTTGCAGTATGTATCATGTCCATAAAAATATTTCTATATAAATTTTAAAATCATCTACTTTGAGTACTACTATTAACTTGGATTTATGGAGAACAAAAAGTAGATTAATACAAAGCAAAATTATGTATATGAACAACCTTTTTTCTTTAAATGACTGTGCTTTAGTTTAAAACAACCCGTTGCAACCTCAACAATTCTGAGATAGAAATTATCTCAAGCATGTTTACTGACGACAATGCCATGAAATTAGAAATCAATAACAGAGAAACAAAGGAGAAAAAAAGGAAAGCATGGAGATTAAACAATACGCTATTAAAAAACCAATGGGTCAATGAGCAAATCAAAGTTGAAATTAAAAAATACCCTGAGACAAATGAAAATGAAAGCACAACCACACAAAATTTATGGGACACAGCAAAGGCAGTGCTAAGAGGGAAGTTTATAGTGATACAGGCCTTCTTCAAAAAGAATAATAATCTCAAATAAGCAATATAACCCATCAGCTGAAAGAGCTAGAAAAAGAAGAACAAAAAACCCCAAAAGGCAGCAGAAGGAAGGAAATTATAAAGATCAGGGAGGAAATAAATAATATAGAGATTTTAAAAACCACAGAAAATATCAATCAAAACAAAAGCTGGTTTTTGAAAAAGTAAATAAAATCAACAAACCTCTGGCCAAACTCACAAAGAAGAAAAAAGAGAGCAGAAATAACCAAAATAAGAAAGGAAAATGGAGAAATTTCAACAAATAAAGTAGAAATACAGAATATCATATGAGAATATTATGAAAAACTGTATGGAACCAAACTGGATAACCTAGAGGAGATGGACAAGTTTCTGGAAACATACTGTCCACCAAAACTGAATCAAGAAGAAACTGACCACTTGAACAAACTGATCAATAGAAATGAAATAGAAATGCAATTAAAAAACCTCCCTACAAATAAGAATCCAGGACTGGACAGCTTCACTGGGGAATGCTACCAAACATGCAAAGAATTCATACCAGTCCCTCTCAAACTCTTCCAGAAGATTGAAAAGAAGGGAATACTTCCAAACTCATTCTATGAAGCCACCATCTCCCTGACACCAAAACCAGGCAAAGACACTACAAAAAAAGAGAATTATGGGCCAATATCACTGATGAACATAGATGCCAAAATCCTTACCAAAATATTAGCAAATAGAATCCAACAACACATAAAGAAGATTATACATCATGACCAAGTGGGGTTCATCCCAGGGACACAAGGATGGTTCAACATATGCAAATCAATCAATGTAATACATCACATCAACAAGAAAAAGGACAAAAACCACATGATCATCTCAATTGATGCAGAAAAAGCATTTGATAAAATTCAGCACCCATTTATGATACAAACTCTCACCAAAGTGGGTATAGAGGGAACATATCTCAACATAATAGAAGCTATATATGACAAACATACAGCCAGCATAGTACTCAATGGTGAGAAACTCAAAAGCTTCCCACTAAAATCTGGGACAAGACAAGGATGCCCACTATCACCACTCCTATTCAACATAGTCTTGGAAGTCCTAGCCACAGCAATCAGGCCAGAGAGAGAAATAAAAGGGATCCAAATTGGAAAAGAAGACATAAAAGTGTCACTATATGCAGATGACTTGATACTATATATAGAAAACCCTAAAAAAAAGCTACAGAAACTACTAGAACTAATCAAAGAATTCAGCAAGGTAGAAGGTTACAAGATTAACATTCAAATCTGAGTTTCATTTCTTTACACTAATAATGAATCAACAGGAAAAAAAAGTAAAGAAACAATCCCCTTTAAAATAGCACCCAAAGTAACAAAGTACCTAGGAAAAAATCTAACCAAGGAGGTGAAAGAATTATACAC